TTACAGTGTACAGAAAATAAATAACATAAATTCAGTGGTCAGTGCTCTGACTTTGGTGCAATACATGGTTACAGTATAAAATGGGACAGAGATACCATTCACAATGAGTTTAATTTAAACTCATTCAGGAATGATTAGTTTAGACAGTATTAAAAATGTTTCTATCTGTGCTGCACCCCAGGAGTACTAGTCAGGTGTGTATTCCAGTGTAAGGAGACCTGGCATGAGGATATGCATGCATTATCCAGGTGTCATACCTTGCATTCCCTGATATAATTATCCATGAGAAATTGTTACCCACGGACTAGAACAAAAGCTTCTTACACCTGGACAGATGTACAGGAGTGTAGGAACTTCCTTGGATGCAATAGATCAACCTGGGACTGATTTTGATTCTGTAAGTGCCCATGCATAGACAGAGCTGGAAGCCAGCTCCTGACTTGTGCCTGCAGGAGGGAAAGCTGCCTGAAGCAGGAGCTGGGCTGGACCAAGTGTCATCCCTGCCCACAGGGAGCTGGGGGCTTCCTGCTCCTGTCAGAGTGCTGCAGGAAGAGAGCAGACACTCCATACAGGTACCCCCAGAGCCTGTGGGGGCTCCATACAGTCCCCCAGAGGGAACCAGGCAGCTCCTGTGTGGTTCAAGGCTGTAAAAGTGGCAGTGGTGCAAAAAGAAGGTCCAGATGTGCTCTTAGGCTATAGAGTCTTATGGAATTGCTTGTTGATAAAAGTGTACAGCAGAAGAACATGTGCAGGAAGGGGATGAAGTTGGGACTTAGTGTGTGGGCCAAGAGTATATGGGAAAGATGGGGAGAGAAGTGTTTGCTGTGTGCACACATGGAGTGGCAGCAGCTCCCAGTAAAAGCACTGGCTCCATCCCCACACCAGTGCTGGCCCTGAGAAAACTCAGTGCTGGAGTCCTTCGTTGGGATGGACAGACCACTGGATGACTGTGTCCTGCACCTCTTCAAAGCCACCTCATGCCAACAACCAAGCCACCACACCATCTCACCCTCTTTAAAGATGGCCACTGCTACCTTGAAGTCTTTTCTGAGTGCCCAGGCAGATTTTCCGCAGGCACTTCCTCATTATCAAAGTGCACCTCAGCCGTATTGGAGTACTTGACCCTCATTTCTTTGGAGGACTGCCAGGCTAAGTACCTGCACAAGCTTTCTACAGGGAGGGAAGCTGTGCAGCCATACTCCAGACACCCACTGGATGTCTCCAGAGGGACACAGGGTGCACCAGGGTGCATTCCCTCTCCCAACAGCTCCCTCCTTAGTCACGCTTCCTGGAGCAATGGTTGCCTCTCATTAGAGCTGGAAAGAGAAGGTGCTTTGCTGTGCTCTGAATGCTTCAACACCTCTGAGCAGGCAGAAATCAGGAAGGAGACACAAGGACAGCCTGCTGACTGATTGTCATAGTAACCCTGGTTAAACTCTCACCAGGAAAATGACTTTTCCTGCAGCACTTGACCCCATGAGGTCATAGGTACTACCCACACCCCTGGGAGCACAATTGCTCTGGCAGTGAGGCCCTGAAACAGTAACAGACCATGCAGAGTTCCTCCCCAAATTACAGTTCAAGGGCAAGGTGCCTGTGGGCTGATGGTTAACCTTGGAGCCTGTTTAAGAGCAGCACAATGGTGTTAATGCCTGCCCTCAACCCTGGCACCTTTCTCTATGCAGTTCTAACAATTCATCACGCAGAAGACTGGAGTCACCACATTTATTATTCTGCCACAAAAAGGAACTCAGCCTGTGGGAAGGGGGATAATACCTATTCTGGCATCAGAACAACAGAATGAGTCAAACAACATGTACTACATTGCAGTGGTTTTCTGCTTTACAGCACAGACAGGGTGGTGGCAGAGGCAGCTAGGATAGTAAGGGAGCTTGCTGCAGATAGAGTGATTTATTCCGTGCATTTAGCAAATCTGTAGCAGTACCAGGGCCAGAAGTGCTTCATCTCAGTCCCAGGCGGAAGTCTTTCCACTAAACCATTAAAACAGATCAGCTCTTATCTGGTTCCTCTGCTGAACATTCTTTCTACAACCAATGTAATAATTCTTTCATTTTTCCTGTTTTGACTTTTATTAATGTCTTGGCAAACACAGTGAAGGAATATCTCAGGTGATCAGATCTGTTCTGTCTGTGTGTTGGAGCTAGAAGCAACTGGGAAATACCATAGCTCCTCTCTATCATCTGCTAGGTCCTGCTTAAGAAAGAGCTTTCATACCAGGGGCCATGCTCAGGGGGATGGACAACCTTGTGCCATGCTGGCTGGGAACAAGGAAGGCAAGAGCCAGGAACTGGTAGGCAGACCAAATATCTCCATGTACTCTTCAAAGCAAATCCATAAAACTCATTGTATTTGGACCAGTGTCATGATGCTATGGCAATGAAAGTGCAAAGCTGGTAATGGTTATAACAGTACCATCGAGTTTTAGACATTCTCACTCCTAAAAATAGTTATTGTTCCAAAAAGCCAGGAAACTTCAGATTCTTTCTCCATATTATTCCTTCAGGCTTGAGGCTGTCTGATAGAGGGGGTTTCTTCATTAAGGATAACCTGATAATGATGTGCTTCATCAGGAGATACTAGAGAAAATGCCTCCCTGGCCATACTTATGGGGGTAAAACACAATCAGCTTCTCTCTTAAGGGCAGAGGAAAGCAATGCTGTACACCCACACCAAGGGGGTGGGCAGGGACTCCCTCTGTCACTGCTCTGTCAGCAAAAAGTGCTGTAAGACAAAGCACTCTTAGGGAACCAAATTAAGCTGCCCTGCAGGCAGTGAAATATGGCATGTTCACTGCACCATGCTGTGATAAGTGCACTGAGCACTGGCTCAGCCAAGTGCTGTGCCCAGAGCTGCCTTTGGCACCAGCGGGATGATGCTGCCAGCCATCCTGCCAAGGGCTCTGGAGAGCTCTTCCCTTCAAGACACCACAGGAGAAGGCACTGGATGCTGCAGGAGACCTGCACACATGGCTACTTCGTGCCTTCTGATAAGCTGCTGTTAGTACTGAGGAATTATCAGTATTTTGAGGTGAAAACACAGGTCTGCTGTTGCCTCAAAGAGTACCAGGGGAGAGAATGATAAGGCTGTATCAGTAACATCCCTGTGGCCCTTCCACCACTGCTGAGAATGAATTACTGTGTCTGGCTCCAGGCCAGGCCTGGAGGTGGAGCTGGCTCTCTTACAAATTCTCTATTTGTAGCATCTCTCCAGTCCCCAGGGCTCAGGCTGCTGGCTGAGAAACCTCCTGGTATTGGTTTGGGTTTGTTTCTAAGACATTTTTCAGCATTGTGGTTACACAAGAAGCTGAAAACTTGTGTTTCAAAACCCCAGCCAGAAGCACAGGTGCTGCTGTTGCTATTTACACTGGACCAGCTTGTTTAGGGGGAGGCTAAGCTAGGAAAATAAACCCATCCTGAATTTCCGAGGTCTTCAAGTTTCCAAAAGGCTGAGCAAGCCTCCTGTGTGTGGGTGCGCTGGGTGGCAGTGTTGCAGAGCTGGGTGCTCTCGAGTGAGCTCCCTGCAGAAACCCCAAGCCTGCAAAGGTCCCATGCCCAGGCACTGCCCTGGCCACCGGCAGAGGGCTGAGCCAGCATCTCCTTGGGCAAGACAGGACCTCAGCAGCCTCTCTCACCTTTTCTGGCTGTTGTGAAGGGCTTTAGCACAGCTTCCTAATCTCCACTCAACAAGTTTAAGTTCGTTTAACTGATGGTGCTGATGTTCTTCCTTGATTTTTTTTTTTTTTTTTTTTTTTTTTTATTTATTTATTCCTCAAGGAAGAGGAGAAGCCCTGGGGGAAGCAGTCTGCCTGGGAGACACAATGACCCCACAAGAAGACTTTCTGGAGCATGGCAGAGACTACCAGAAGCAGAACTAAGGTCCTGACCTGGGGCAGAGAAGAGCTGTGCTGAATAATCTCTCATCCTGGTTTCAAGGCACTTCTGTGTGCCAAAGGACTTGCATCAGTGGCCTACTTTTCCCAAGAACATTTCTGGCAGTAGGCAGTTTCTCAGCTACAAGTTCAAAGCCAGATGTGCAAGAAATGCTTCTCAAATCCTAAACTTTCCCCGAACACTGATCAACTCCATCCCAAGTGTTAAAGCAACAGGCAAATAGCAGTAGCAATAGCAGACAATGCCAATGCACCACAAGTCAGTCATAGGCATCATCTGTCCAGAAACTGGAGCATCCATAATCTTGGGCCCATTAGGCAAAGGAGAGCACTCACTTTGCTAACATTCTGGCATCCCTCATGCTGTGGTTTTTCACTAGTGCTCTGTAACCAGACAGCACCTACAGGGCTACTACTTGGCAGGAAAGTGGCACACAGAATTATTGTGATGGTTAACATTATCTAGGAGCACTCATATCCCACTGCCCACATAATTGTCCCAATGCTGGGTCTTGCCCATCAGCATGTCAAGTGTAAAAGCCAAAGCTCCCCTCCCAGGCAGAAACCAGATCAGGCACTAGCAGCCCTCCTGAGTACTTCTCAGGGGGCAGAGGAGGGGACCGGGGCTCACATGCTGTGAAATCCTAACCCTGGCTCAACCACGAGGTCCTTGCATGGCCTTGGACACCTCTTGGCTTGCCAGTCTCCGTTCTGTCTCTGAGAAGAGCTAATCCTTATTACCACGCAGCTGTAGCCCTTGGATTAGTTACAGGCAAGAGTGCTGAGGCAACGAATAATGCACAGCACTGCTCTAAATTATCTCCTTCGAGGGAAACAACACAAAATACAAACACTGAGGGTGCCTGTGTTTACAGAGAGGCCTCTCTAACTGCCTTCTGCTGAGGAAATGGGCCATACTGCCCGTTCTGCTCCAGGCAGTTCTCACTGAGCTTCCACAGTCCCACTACCTGCTGAAACACCATTAATTGTTATTATTAAACCACCTCCTTAATTACTGAACCTAATTAAATCCCAACCTAAGATTCAAACGAGGCGAGAAATGTAGAAATGAGCACTGGAGCCAGAGACATATGCTTTAAAAATCTCACAGTTTATTTTTTTTCTCTGTGCAAATCAGAGCTACTTAACATTAATCACATTTCACAGTGCAAGGGGCAGAAGTGATTACTGTTTAAGCTGCAGTTCTGTGGGATCCTTCTGGGTCCTGCATCCCAGGAAATCTCTATGTGCAGATTATCTGGAAAAGACATAAACTTCACAGTAGTGTTTTTAGCAGTTGTTACTTGTAACACAAGCTGCCTTGACAGCATCTCCAAGGGAAACCTGCTTTCCTCCTGCAGGCATCACAGCATTCATGGCTGCATGCAGACTCCAAGAATCTGCAGCCAGTGGCATACAGAAAGTTTAAGGCACAGTTTTTGAGTCAGAGCTAGTAAAGACAGATGAAGAAAGAGCTCTTTAATCAATAAGCTCTTTTCAGAGCCACTTAATCTCACATAAAGCAAAACAGTGGAAGGAAAAGCTGGTCCCTAGGGTAAGAGGCTCAGGTCCCAGCCTAGCCAGCAGCACCTGCAGCTCACTGGCTGCTACATCAGTTGTCACCACTGGAACACAAAGAATGGGGCATGAAGCCAGAGAGCCACAGCACTTGGAAAACATTGAAATCCTGTACTTGGCCAACAGAAGAGACCCTTTGGTATACTAGGCAAGAGTAGCTGATATCAGTTATCAAGAGTTTCTCAGAGATGATTGTGTGACATGGAGATTTCATTGTGAAATATTAAAAATAAGAAATGTGTCTCTTAAAGTATCCTTCCAGAGCTCATAGTCAGGCCACACTAGCTGCATGGTGCCTCATCACTGCTCAAATGCAGAGGATAAATCAAAAAACTGATTTGGAAAACCCAACAGCTGCTCCTTCAGCAGCCAGAGGAAAGCAAGGGGATAGCTGGACATCTGTATCACAGTTGAGTAGTTCAGACACCTAAAGTAGTAGTCAGAGAAGCCAAATTTGTTTGCTACAGCTTAAACCCTGTCCCACACAAAGCTCAGCAGTGGCAGGTGGAGAGGGGCTGCTGAGAGATGGCTGAGACCTCATTATTAGAAGGGCATTTCACTGCCTGTGTTGTGCCCAGTTGTTGGCTCTGGCACCTCCTGGCCACAGTGCTGGGAGGGAAGAACCCTTCTTTGCAGCTAGGTAATGAGGCTGTTTAGAGGCAGTGTTGCTGTTTCCCTGGAAAGAGCAGACACTCACAGCACAGCAGAGCTTCTTGGCAGTATCAGGAAAATGGAAGGCTGTGACTGACCCATTTTCAACCAAATGGAAAATTCTGCTTTTGTTTCCCATTTTAGCTTCTCCCTTCAAGCCATCTCATAGCAACAGCTTTGCTCTGCTATTAGCAGTTTGTCCTTGTAAGGACATTAATAAGCCAAATTTATCACTGGGGGAACTCTGCTGACCTAATTACACTAGCCATATATTTGACATGTTATATTTACCTTCCTCTGCTTCCTCCATAGTTAAAAGGAAAACACCTTTCAACTTTAATCAGCACAGCAAGAAATACAAACAAGAATGAGGAAAAAGAACCCCAAAACCATGCTGTTCTAACATTCCACAGCACACGACTTCAAGTCATAACTCAAAGTGGAAGCACATGCATCTCCAGGGGAGACACAGCAGCAAGGAGTGCAGAGGTCAGCCCTAACCTGTGCATGAGTAGGAGCCCTGGAGGGATGCCTGAAGGATGCCTGTTTAAAGGGTGGCTCCAGGGATGTAAAGCCAGTCGGCAATGGCTGTAGGCAGGTGGGTCATGACCTGCAACCTCACCCACCAGTAGGTCTCCATGGGGTTGTAGCGGTTCTTCGGGCACGGGGATGTGAGCGCTTCAGTGATGTCATTCAAGACCAGAGACATGTCCTTCAGGCCACTGTTCACAAAGGACTTCATCGTGGCCACGTGGTGAGTGAAATACTCTCTGCCATAGTCCTCCCGCACCGTGTCGGTGGCCCCACTCCACAGAGCCTCGGCCTGCCTGTCGATGCCGGCTGCTGTCAGGATGCCGGTGGCTGCCACGAAGTTACTGGGCTCAATGAGGATGACGCGGACCCCCCAGCGGTACATCTCCTGCCTCAGGCAGTCAGAGAAGGCTGCCACCCCAAACTTGGAAACGCAGTAGCAGGAGCGAGATGGACTCACCATGCGTCCCAACATGCTTGTGATATTCACCACACGGCCTGGAGAGAAAAGATCAGGGAGAGAGGATAAGCTGCAGAAGCAGCAGCCAGAACATCCCAGTAAAAGGATGATGCTGATTTCTAAAATCTGAATCTTGAATACACATCCCCTGTTACGGAGCTTTTCTCTCCTGCCTCAAGCAAGGCTAAACACCATTCTCCAGGGATGCTGCATATGCCTACCTCTGCATCAAAGAATTTACAAAGCATTTCCTTCCTAATTTCCAAGTAGGGAAGTACCATGATCTTCTGAGACAGCAAGCTGTGTGTTCTTAGGAGTGTGCCCCACTCATGTATCTTGCTAGAGAAGGGCTCAAGCTCCCAGCCTGGAGTGTCATGAGCTGAAAAGCTCACAACTCCATGTGATGCCATACAAGTGTTCTGGTTCTTTCTGTAAGACAGCTCATCTGCCTAACACACTCGTGTACTTTAGACCTGAGCTGGGTGGCAGAGAATGAGTAGAGATTTCTTTGCATCTGCTGTGTGAGCAGCACAACCCACTCACCCAGCTGCTCAGCCACAAGTCCCTACAGTGGCCATTCCTGAGACAAACAAGAAGTGCTGCTGTCCATGGGGCAGTGGAGAGCAATTGTCCTAATTCCTGCCAACAGCCTGTGACAGCCCTCGGGGCACTGCCTCAGGACAGTGACAGCAATGGTCACTCATCTGTGCGAGTCTCAGCTTTTATCCAAGACAAGACATGTGAACTATGGTTTCAGACACACTTACAAACAAGCCCTTGAAATTCCACCAGCTATTTTTACAGAATTTTCACAGCCATGGAGCACAACACCCTTCTTGCAGCCCAAAATTTCAACTGAGAAAAAGTGGGCAGCTCTGCTGTCTCATTCCAGACCTAAATGTAACTTAGAGGGACTGTGAGAACGACCTGCTGACCTGATGGGTAAGATACTTTTTGTAGTTAGATGGAGCTTGTTTAGTGGTTAATTGCTGTCTGGGAATGGCATCTGAGCAATCTTCTTAATATAGCCCCCTTTTGTCCTCACAGAAGACATACGTGTACCATCATTCCCACACATGCTAAATAAAGAAGTTCTTCAGAGTTCTGCTCATACATATATTTTTTCAATATAAAACAAAGAGTTTTGATAATACCATTGTCTTGTAAGATAACTGAAATGGCTGTTATTGACTCTCATTTTTTCTGTCACTACCTCAAGTCACCTGTGAATGGAATAACATGAAGGGAGAAGATTCAGTTATCCAAACATGACCACCCTGTGGACTCTGGATTATCTTGTCTGTGTGTTATCTGCCAACACTGCACAAAGGTCTCTGATATCTTGGATGTTTAAATAGCACCTGCTGTGTAGGTGCCTGGCCTGCCCCAAGAATAGCCTGTACTACCAAATGCTTACATGGCATCCTCAGAAACCTCCTTGGATGCACAGGCATTCCCCCAAGTACAGCCTGGATTTCTAGCTACATCTCTTTGCTGTGCTATGAAATCTCTGAGCCTTAACTCATTGCCCAGCATGTACCTTTGGCTCTGCGAATGAGGGGCAGGAAAGCCTTTGTCACCCTCACAGTGCCCCATAGGTTGACCTCAGCCACCTTCTTGTAGTTGTCTAAACTTGCAAATTCCACCTCTCCGAAGGTTGAGACGCCAGCATTGTTCACCAGGCCCCACAGACCTGCCAACAAACACATGATTAAGGAGTGGGACAAGGAAGAGTGTCATAGAGAAAACACTTCCCTTGTTGTTCACTGTAACCTAAAACCTTAATAAAGAGCTCAGCACTTTTGTAGAAGTTGTAGAGAAAAACCCAGTTGAAATCCTGTCCTCCTATACCAGGGGCTTGTTTGGAACATCAAGGAAAGTAATGGGGCCCTACAAGTATTGCCTCCTGAAAATCTTCCTTATAGTCAAATGCTCTTCTGGGGCTTTATAAGGCCGCATCTGGCTGACTCTCTTTTAAGTCTTCTCTTGATCCCAGGGTTGCCTCCACTCAGTGACTTTATAATTAATTTTGCAATTTGGAGGGGGCTGGACTTTCTCCCACAATTAGGAGGAAGAAAGAAGGAAAGCAAACAGGTATTTTGGATTTCTTAATCCCCTTCACAACTCTGGCTCGCTGTTTTGGAGGGTGCATGGTATTGATTTGTACATTCATGGCCTGGTTAACAGCTGCTGTGCTTTAGTCCAAGTATTTGGTTTCCTTCAACCCTAACTTTATCAGGACTTAGTAAACTTACAACCAGCCCTTAAAACTACAAGAATTTAAAAATTAATGTATTTTGTGCATGCAGTCCTGTCAAAATTAAATTGACTGTACTTCCCAAGAGCTTCTGTGATGAACTCTTTACATGTCAGGACTTAACAGGTCAGCAAGGACTTGACCCTTCAAAGGAATTACTGCAGGACTCCCAGTGGCAAATGTTTTAGGGCTGAGTCCATAGTTCATGGATTTATTGAAGCATGAGACTGTGCAGCCATAAACTGCACGAGGAACAATGGAGGAGCTGGAACAAGACAGCAGTTGCTCCTCATTAGATGTCCTGCCATACACCATGGTTATTTTCACTGTGTTGGAGTTGGGGCTGGACTGTTGGGGCCACATTGGACTCAGTTGAAGTTGGGGCTCCTTTCCACTCTAGGACCTTCCTTTTACCAAGAACTAGCACAGGGCTAAGAAGGAGTCTTCATGTCCAGGGAGCTCCAATATTGCTATCAAAAGCACCAATGTCATGGCACCCTGTTGATAAAAGTTATCAAGCTCCCTCTCATAATTTTTTGGGCTATTTGCCCTGCCTCTGCTCCATAGCTTCCCTACTCTGATGTATGAAAGTCTTTTAACTTCCGCCCTGTATTGATTCAGTCAGTTAGTAACCATGTATTTTACTAAACAGTTCTGTAAGCAAATTGCAATATTCTGCCAATGTGCAATGGAATTCATCCTCCTGTTGCACTTAAAAACATCAACATGCCCTTGGCAGACTGCCTCTGCTCTCACATGGGCCCTGGTAACCCTGCCCCGTTCCCAGCTAAGGCTGTTCTCTCTGAAGGCTGTTGACCAGCTGTGTACAAGAACCTGTGTTCCTGCTTCACCTGCTGAAGCTCCCAGTTTTAGTGAGTCAAAATGACTGAAATTCACACTGATCTGCATCCAGCAGAGCATCTCACCCTGAATGGGGTCTCTCTGCTGCAGCAAAGCGAGGTCTAACTACTAGCAGGAGGACCATGGAAACAGGGCACGTGATGGAGTAATTTCACCACTAACAAAAAAACATGCTGAGAAAATTTGGCAGGGATTTACCAAAGACAAACTGTCGGTCACAAACTGACCTCTGCAGAGTATTCCTGACAAATTCCTGTAAGTTTCTGTACAACAATTTCTCATTTCCTGGGTTGTGATGTTAGTTCTCACAAATGTCCCTGAATCATTATTTACAATAGTTTGTTGTTGGAATTCCACTGCTCATGGATCAGGGCACGTTACAAACAGAACAAAGTGCTGAGGGGAGCCCAGTCACAGGGCTGTTTGCTGGACAGCAGTGTGTTTATTGAGCAGAGCCTTATCACTATTACGTCTCTAGAGTCAACAATACAGTGGGAACTGTATGAGACCAAAAACAAACGGGCACTCCTATCAAAAGAGTTCAGCATAAGGAGAAGTATAAAGAACTGTCCAGCCCAAGAACTGGCCTGCACTAGCTCCTCTGGGGACACATTCAGTGTGCAACCACACCTCTGTGCAAGCACTTCAGTACTCTTTATACTCCAGCACCTATTTATTGAGCACTACTTATTTCCCAATAAATTGAGCCTCAGACCTCAGTCATACCAATGGACCTAAAAAGAAGCCTTTGTTGCTTTGCATACGGTGCTGAGGCAAACAGCTACAGGAGGAACCAGTCCAACCTGCTGATCAGGGACGCAAGACTTCTCTGTCCCTGCTACACACACAGTTTTGCAAACACCACTGCATTTATAGAATCAATAGAGCTGCTCCCTTCCAAGCTTTCACTCAGTGGAAAAAGGCTTTGTGCTACCACTGCTGTTGCTGGGCTCTTCAGGAAAAGCTTAAGAAGATGTGAAAAGCATGACGAGGCCTGGGTGATTGTGTAGGAAGAAAAATCATGCAGAGAGAACATGTGTGGGAATCAGAGCTTGTACATTACTCAGTTACATTTCATATGCTTATTTTAGAAGAGAAGGTGTGCTCATGTAATTTGCATGAAGATTAGAGCTGTTGTTATTTATTAGCTTGATACTTGCTGTGAACAAAACCAGGGCCATGGCAGACTCATCCAAGCTTCAAGATGAACAACCACCTACAAGTCACAGCTCTGAAGTCCTGAAGCCACAGATGTCAAATTTCAGTTCACCCTCAGCCTGTTTCTACAACTGCTGGCCAGCTTGCTACTGGCATAGAGAAAAGCCTGTGCAAGGCAAGAAGTCTCACCTCATCACATGAGAAGAGGTCAGGTGGTATCACATCAGGCTCTGACTGTAAACTCACGTCCCACTGCCAAAGCACTTTCAAGAAGGAAAGATGGGACTCTTATCTCCCTTGACATGCTTTTGAGATCTATGAGTTGGACTCATGCTTAAGGTGACACGTGGATTAAGGTCATCTATGCCAAGCCTAACCTGGATTCCACTTCTCATCACCTCTAGGATGTTGCATGGCAAATTGAACACATGGATTGATCTGACTGAACATTAATCCAGGTTTGGGGGCAGTCCAAATATGTGCTCCAGCTCAGATGTACCCTCACAGTTGTACCCACACAGAAGAGGGGACAGCAGCAGTAAGCAGCCAGGGCCCATCACCTCTTCATTAGCAGGGTCACTTGCAAGGTCTACATGAGCTATGAGCATGTGTGGCAGGAGTGCAAGAAAGAGATCAAGCTCTGGCCGTTCTATGCCCTTCACAGACATTCAAGGACAAAGACACAGATACTTGTGGGCTTGCTGCCACTCATTGCTTTTTATGGGATGTAGAGTTAAAGCCTAATCCTCCAGCAGTCTTGGTCTCTTTCCATGTGCCTGCCACATCAATAGCAAGACAATTGTCCTCACTGACCCGGGTACAGCACAGCCTGACTGCCAGCCACACACTGCCACAGGCCTTCAGGCTTATTAACCCTCTTTTGGTGGCGCACAGAAAGAAAGACCTGGTCAATGCATGGCCTGCTCTGTAGAAAGGATTCTGTGAGCAAAATATCCCTACATACCTTCCTCCGGCTCCTTCAGGGTCCTCTTCACAAAATCCATGGCTTGAGCCACCTCCTGGTCACTGCACACATCCATCTGTAGCACTTTCATCCGGTCTGACTTCATGTTCCTCAGCTCCCTGGCTCCTTCTCCATTCTCATCCTGTTCAGCAGAACAGAAAGGTGTCCCACTAAGATGGACCAAGAACAGCAAGGCAGCTTGGGGCCAGGCATGTTCACATGGACAGGAAATAGAAGCCACTGACATTGCACACACAGGTGTAAACTGGGTGCACAAAGATGCACAAACCAGCATGCCATCCTCCTATTCCCTCCAGCACCACTTCCAGAAGTGCATCAGTGACCTAGTGCCCTGAAGCACCACAAAGCTCACCCTGCTCTTGGCTCCTTATGATGGGTTTCACATCCCTAACATGCTGAAATACTGTGCCAGCCAGAGAGAACCATGGGTGACTCTCCACTACCTTGGTCTCTGTGCTCTACAGGTAACATAATTTGTACAGAAATTGGAGTAAGATGTTCAGGAATATGCGCTCAGTGGAGATTTGCTACACAACAGCACAATTACAGACATGAGGCATGAAAGGAGATTCTGGCTAAAGAAAGAATTTTATTTTTTTTTTCCACTCTATAGGGAACAAGAATTTCATGTTTCTGCTTTCCTTTCAACCCTTTTCCTTTCTTTCCTCCCCATCCCACTTCTATTATTAGAGATTCTGTTACTACTGTGGCTTTTTTGTTTAGTCAAATGTAAACACAGTTAAAATTCCAAATTTCACCTGCTCACTTGCAGGCAAGATTACTGTCTAAGCCTTACAGCCTTGCTCAGGTGGTAAATAACAAATAAAAGTGAAAAGAGCACAGATTAGCCACACAGTTCCACAGCAGGCTTGAGATATAAATCACAAAACTATTCCCTGAATCACAAGCTCTGCCTCATTAGGGAGGAAGAAATTATGAATTGGTGAGTCACCATGCCTGGCTGCCACTCTTCCTTTATCACTTGATACCAACTCCCACAGCACAAGGGCAAACAAGGCGAGCAACCCACCCACAGTCACCTGCTCAGCAGCCTCTGCAGCCAGGCAGATATAAAAAACATGTAACTGCTTAGTTTTTTATAAATATCTCAGGCTATTTAATTCATATGTATACAACATCTCATCTCCACCTTCAGTCCAGTGAACACTGACACATAATGAAGGAAAAGAGCTGAAATATCCATCACAAATGTGAGCAAAACAGGGCAGTTCTCTTAAAAATCAATCTGTAGTTACACTGGCATTATGACAATAGTAGGAATGAGTTCTTGGTCCCATGGCTGCATGGGATTTCACAACTGACTTATTTCCCAGTACAACAAGAACAGCAAACAAAGTTTGAAGCTTTTCTAATGCACATCAAACGTGGTGACGGACTGTGTTGGCCCTCTTATCTAGTCATGAAAACAATCTCAAAGTGGTGGTACAAGTTGTCAACAACATGGTCACCTAAATATTATATTCACTTTGAAAAGGAGGGTTGTATGATGCCTCACTGTATACCAAGTTATATAAAATAAATTTCCACTACTTAACAGTGCATAAAGTGAAGCTAATTCAGCTTGTAAAGAGAAAGATTTACTGTATCTATATAAAACCAAAACCATAACTATATCTGCATACAAGTGCCAATTGTTATTTAAGCACTGAAAAGACCTTTCCCTGCATTTTTTCTTTAATCTTGCATAATACTTACAAATAAACAATAAACATTTCCTCTGCTTTTTGAGAAACAAAGTCATGGACTGGCAACTTAAAAATCGGGTAAAAATTGTTTGTTTTGTTCATACGGAAATTAATTTTCACCTATCACCAAAGCAACTCTATCTGCAAAGTTACCTTCCCAGATACAATTTACTCATTATTGACAAAACATATTGATTTTGGAAGACTGACTTCAACATGCAATATCAATTGGGATCACTTTTCATAGTTGCAGACACCATATTAGCCACTATTTAACTGTAAAACAAAGTGCTTAATTATTTTGTCCGGAACACCTCTTCACAAATGAAGCAGCTACAGATTTTTATGGAAGCAATTGAACATCATCTTATGTTCTGTGGTCTTCAGGGGCTTCAAGTGCATTCCTTGTTAGGTACCACATGGTACTTCCTCCTTGTTTTTTAAACAGTAGATTTGTTGGCTGGGATAACACCTGGAGCAGTTCCTATGGGAGCAGCCACACTGTCCTCCCAGAGGTGATCTTCACCAGCAGGAGCCACACAGCAGCACAAATCAAGTGAGGTGCTGGCAGCAATGGCCCAACTATTCCTACAAAGCCTCTCTCCACCTCCCTTTGCTGATTTTTGTCTTCTCAGAGAATCTCCCCTTCCCAGTTCCATAAGAGTTGAAAGCCATCATGCTCCAGCCCAGCCTGCTGCCCAAGTTCTCTCCACAGGCCTTCAATGGGGACTGTGTGGTTTACTCCCAGCTATCTCCTATCCCCTGGTTATCCTGCCCTTGCAGCCCTGCAGGCTCTGCCTGCCTACCCCACCCTGCGCCTAGCAGGGGCTGCTCCTGGCTGAGAAACCCAGCAGCTCCACAAACCCTCTCTACCCAGCTGAGGAAACTTGCTGCAGCTTTTGGCTGACTCCCCTTCCCCTCCTTGCTCCTCTCCCCTGTTCTGGCTTGGAGGATGATCTCAGTGCAGTGGTGCTGAGGAGAGGCAGATCACAAAGATGTTCATTAATGGAGAGCCCCCTGTTACAGACACAGACATGGCTTTTTCCCATGGAAGCTCCTGGGATTCAGGATTAGGTCCTGGCAAGCACTTGGGCACCTGCAGTGAGATGTCAGGAGGAATCAGGAAGCCACAAACACAATGCTGAACTCCCATGGATGCAGCCAGCTCACTCCATGTGAGACAGTTCCTCCCCACCCTGCTGCCAATCCACGTGCTGCCTTCCTGTGTTTCCTGAGCGGAACACCTCGTGCTTGTCATTACTGGATTTCACATAATTTATTTCAGACTCCAGCCAATCTGTCAGGATCATTTTGAACCCTGGTCCCAAAAAGCCCTATAATCTTCTCTGTATGGTTCTGTGCATATTTTTTTCCAAGCGCAAACTCTCTTCTGGGAGGTACTTCCAAGAATATGGTCCTGGGACTAAACAGAAGTCACTTAGAGCATGAGTTTGCCCATGAGACTATCATGAGGGACTGTAACAAACTGTAACAAAACCCTTACTCAGGACACATTTATTCCTTCCCCTTCAGCCACTCTGCTGCTTAGCCAAAATGAGATTAGATTGACACAGCACAGTTTGTTCCCAGTAAACTTATACAGGCAGGGTGCATCACACTATGATCCAGTCATTTGTAAAACTGACAGGGCAGTGTGTGGCAATTGCATTGAGTGCACTGAAGGTGAGTTCCCTGGCTGGCAATTCCAGAGGTCTATCTCCTTTGGGAAGGGAAGTACAGTATCTGCCCTCTTCCAGCCTTTGGGAAATCACCTGGCCTCCAGGTGCTCTTGAAAATATCACCCATGGGGCAAAAATCACAATAGCTCATCCTCTAAATTCCATTAAGTATATTTCATCAGGCCTGGTGAACAAGCACATGAATTTATATAAACATCCCTTGTTCTTTACCTTTTCTTGCCTACAGTTCTCATGATAACTGCTGGCAATGGGCATCTGAAAACAATTTATTCTTTCTTTTCAGTAAGATCAAAGAAAACAAAACTATTATTATTTTAACTTTTCCTGTAATTTCTACTTTTAAGGTTATTTAATGATCTATTTTTGTGTGTTTTTTCCATCTTGATCCTAATATATTAACAGAAACTTTCTCAGTGGACTTACTTGCCCTTGCTTAATGTAATCCCTTTTGCATTTGATCCTTTCCAGTTCTATCCCAGCCTTCATGCAGTATTCTTTTCATTCCCATAACTTTACATTTGACCATCTTATCATTAAGAAGCTCCTGATGCACCTCACAGTCTATTATCCTATATTTAATACAAAAGCTTTCTGTGGTGGTGTAGTGCATCAGGGACCCTTTAATTCTCTGTATAAAAGCATGTAAGTGGTGATGGACTAACTAGGTGTGAACTAAGAGCCTGTCATCTGCCTCATGACAGCTGCCCCCATACCTGCTCTGACCCTGCTGGGAACCTACAGCAGCTCACAAGCAATGAAGCAAGCAAGCAAACAGGTCTCACTTCAGAAGCATTTAGTTTCTTTATGGGGTTTCCAGTGGAGCCTGTACCTCTCTGCTCCACACTAGCATGTGCCTTCCAAACAGTCCCCTTAGCCACTCTCCTTTCCCTCTCTCCTTTCTGCTGCTCTGCAGAGTGCCTGACTCGCCACCAGCACTGAGAAAGGCATCCCAAAGCAGCAAATGACATGATTACTGAATGAATTACAGAGGCTCCATATGGAAATTTCCGAACAGTGGCAATAATCCAACAGGACTCTCTTGTTCTCAAGTTACACAATATGTCAGCTGATAATAACTTTCCTTTCTGGCGTCGTGGAAGAATGTAGGTTCTGCCATGATCACACAGGCAGAGAAAGCCACCTTTGTTTGTTCTCACCCTCCACAGTAGTCAAAAATCTGTAGTCATCATGCCCTGAGCACCTGTGCTGATGTAGTCATCTTCAAATGGAGAAATGACTATGAACTGATTTTGAACAATTCAGGTCAGAAATCATGAGTTTTGACTAGCAATACAGCAAAAATGCATAGTAAAGGTAAAATCCCAACTGAGATGGAAGTGGACCCAGCCCAATTTATAAAAAGGGTTTCACAATACTAAGTTCTAAGTCCTTTGCAAGAGCAGGGACTGGGATGAGAGGTCTGCAACCCCTTCAGATTTACTGTGTCTAAACTTATCTCTTACAAGTGATGACACCTGCCAAACACACATGACAGGAAGTGAGACCTAAAGATGTCAGAAATGTATGGTAAAATTTTCTATTCAACTGTCCATAAATAGCTATACAAGCTGAACAGTTTGTACAGAAGCTGCAGAAGCACAGTTACAAGACATTTTGGAAGCCGAGCCTTAATAATGCAGAAAAGTCAGCTTGGAGATGAGTTTTGGGGAAGGGGTCCACAAAAATGACATTGTGAAAGACAGCAACAGGGATGCCATGGAAGACAGACAGCCACAGTGCCAAAGCAATCTTGGCCTATCAGATTTATGGTGTTGTGGTATTTCTGAGAGGCTTGCAGCAGTGAACAGTGCTACACTGTACAAGCTACTGTACAGACATGCAGTTGACAGACAGTCCCTGCCCTAAAGAATGAGGAATGAGGTACAAGATACAACAGGCGGATGAAGCAATGGAAGATGTAACCATTCCTGCCCACTCCACCTCTCTCAGGTCTTGAACCAGGGGAAATGGAGGCTGCAACTGCAAATGAAGATGCTTTCACTTGAGAAGCATTTTTCTCTAATCAGCAAAAAATCTGATAAATTTCACTACTCACCATGAGCAGGCATCCAGCAAAAACAGTAAATCCCTTTGCATGAAGGCATTTTGCCAAGGCATGTCCAAAACCTTTGTCACAGCCTGTTATTAGCACCGCCTTCCCTTCAGCCTGTGTAGGGAAAGACAATCATAGGATACCATCAGACATTGCAATGTAGGCACCACCAGCACCCTGCCCCATGGCACATGGGTCACTTGCAGTCCTGCAGACAGGGCAGGTACAATTCCAGATGCAAGTGACAGTGGCACCTGTGTGCACAAACACAACCAGCTTCCAACTACTGTGAAATGATGCATTTATTCAGTTGCTGGTCTGTAACAACTTGTGTTGCCTCAATACCTGAGCTGGAACAATAACTCTTTCTTTCAAGTATCAGTGGCCAAAGCAGAACAGAAACATCTCAAAAGAAGTTAATGATCTACCAGTTCATAGTAAGAAAAAGCAGCATTGAGAACATCCAAATGGCTTGAACTGTACAGCAGCTCTTTTAGCTGCTGAGTGACTGCTGTCTGTTCCCCATCTACTCCCACTCTATGCGGCACTTTCCATACTGTATTTTAGCACACAGGAATGTGACTACAGGTTAGAGCTTCATTCTGAAACTCTGCAGTCTTAAGAAGAACAACTTATCAAATCCTACGGTTCTCTCCTACATTATTATTATTATCTTTTGACTGACAGGTAAATTGAGAAGGAAGATTTGATATTCCATCTGATATGACACAACAGGCTTGAGATAGATATGAAAGCAGAATACCAAATCCTGAAGAGAAGCCTATAGCAAAACACTGCCCATTCACCCTCTGTCTTTTCTTGAAAGTCATCTCCTCATCACAGGTGTGAAGCAATGAATTAACACTTAACCCAGCTAGAAGGCTGCCAACTGCTGTGCTGCACAATGCTCCAAACTGAAACCATGAGGCAATAGCATGATAAAGCAATAAAAATCCAGAGGATGCAATAAGGAAGTGAGTTCTATTTCTCTGGAGATATTGGTAACTAATATTGCCTGTTACTGTATTCACAACAGCTGGAGTATGAACATACTTATGTATGAATTGCCCTGGCTGGTCCAGCCTTTTTTTCAGAGGAAAATGGGTCAATCACAAGTGCTCTCTCATCTCTTGCTTTGCTGACATGTAGTGTAATGAAGCAGCAATAAGGGATGATTGCAGGGTGATAGTGATCAGAGCATTACTGCACAAACTCAGGGTGAGTCTCAGCAGAGTACAATAAGCAAATAAGCTACACCCTGTCCTATAACTCATGTTGAAGTAACTGCTCTTAAAGTGGAGGTAAGAGCTGAAGCTGAAACAAGAACTGATCAAAAGTCTGTGCTGCATTTATGATACAAACACCCACATTAACATTATACTATAACCTATACTCAGACAAAGAGCACCCAGATACAGACTAGCTCTGTTAAAGCTCTAAAGATAGCTACAGCTAAAGGACAAAAGATAAGTGAGAATTAAATATACAGTGCTCAGTCTGAATTTAATTTAGAGTGACACAACTCCAAGAAAGATGAAAATCAAACAAGAACCAGATCACAGAAGTTGTCAAGGTCACCTGCCATGATAACTCAACAAGCTGGCCTGTGGAAAAATAAAGGATTTGACTTTCTTTTTCTCTTTCTCTCACCTCACTAGAGCCCTTGCCTCTGAATCTTGAAGGCAAAGGACTTCTCAAAAGAGCAGGAAGTGTGCAGGAAATAGGCAGTGGTAATCACTTCCAGAACACAGTCAGGCAAACAAAGAAGATACTCAATCTTCAACCATCATTAGCTCCTTTAAAAAAAAAATCCCCAAACAAACAACCAAAATGTAGACAGAAATGAGGTTTAAAAATCCTCTCAACTGCCTATAATAGCAAGGAAAGTGAGGGACCACGTCAAGTATTAAAATGATCCTGTGATTGTAATTTGCTATAACCCTAATTGCTGGTAATAAAACATGTGACTATGGCATCATGGCTCATAACAGACAGAGGCCCCAGCAGCACCAAGGAACGTGCAAAACCCCAAGGGATGTACTGGATCTCACATCTGTACCTGTGCCTGTTTGTGCCATGCCTGATGGACAGAGAACTCCCAGGGATGACAGCAGGGATCAATCCCATTCCCAGCCAAAAGGATCCTATCCCAGAAAAACTTCTGAACACAGAAAAGCCCAATCACCCTTGTCTTTTGAAAGTCCTGAGATAAGGCTTAATCTGCCTGTTCCTGAAGTTTGATAAGGTCAATCTGCAGCTTAATTTGACTCAATGCTGGGACCGGCAGAGAGGATCAGTTATCAGCACAGTGACCTTAATGAGCATTCTGAGGAACTTTGGGTGCCTCCCTCATTCGGGGTCATACAGTGCTCCCCAGAAACACTGCATGGGAGACAGCCCTCCAGTGCTGACAGGCTGCCTGGGATCTGCTAAGAGCACAGAATAACTTCTTGTACCACATGTGCTGCTGTGGCCTGTGGGCACAGTAATACTGTCTATGCTTGCTGTGTGATCCACAACACTATTCCTCACAGCTCAGGCAGCCCTAGCAGGTCAGCCTCATGTTAACCTGCAGCCAGCTCAGAGGTACACAGCTTTTCCTATTGGGATATGGCTAGTTTACTAAATAGTAGAATTTATTTAACTAATGCTGTTGATCTATCAGAATTATACATATTTACTGCAGAACTTACTAAAGAAATTGAAGCTACTTTTTCAGCCTTTCTAGACAACATGGGAATGTGCCATGCTTACCCAGAATTTATATTTTTCTAATGTGCCACTTTATTTTTTTTTGATCCTGTTCCCTTTTATGGCTCCCCTGACCAATCCTCTGATGTTATCAAACAGATTGATTTTAGGATAAGGGCAGCTACAAAGTAAACATGGCTTGTTCCTTTTTCCAGGGCTGGGAAAGTTGAGGTTTTATATCCCAGGAAAAAGAACTGAAAATATTCACTAAAGGGAAGGTATTTTCTCAAGTGGAACAAGGATAGGGAAAGTAAGAGATGCAGAGTGGATGGATGACTGAAGTAGGAGGCTGCAATCAGACTACAGGTGTTATCTGGCCATTCCAGGAGGAAGGATTGAGCTGGAGGTCCTGAAGCAAAAACAATGTCTCTGAGAGCAAGTCATATCCTGGGCATCCAAAGCAGCATGGACAGCAGGTGAAAAGAGGTGATTCTCTGGTGAGACCCCACCTGCAGTGCTTCATCCAGCTCCAAGGTCCCAGCACAGGAAGAACATGAACCTGTTGGAATGAGTCCAGAGGAGACTACCAAGATGATCAGAGGGATGGAGCACCTCTCCTATGAGACAAGGCTGAGAAAATTTAGGTTGTTCTGCCTGGAAAAGAAAAGGCTTTGGGGTGACCTAATTGTGGCCTTCTACTACCTGAGGGAAGACCATTTACAAGAGCATGTAGTGACAGCACAAGGGGGAATGGGTTCAAATTGAGAGTAGGTTTAGATTAGATATGAGGAAAAAAGTCTTAACTGTGAGGGTGCTGAGGCCCTGGCACAGGCTGCCCAGAGAAGCTGTGGATGCCCCATCCCTGGAAGTTTTCAAGGCAGGGCTCTGAGCAACCCGGTCTAGTGGAAGGTGTCCCTGCACATGGCAAGGGGTTGGGATTGGAAGATCTTTATGGCCCTTTCCTACCCAAGCCAATCTGTGACTACATGAACACGTTCCCCCTCCAAGTGGAGCACTGCGGGGGGGAGCAGCC